AATGTAGGTTTGTAACTAATTTTGGCCAATGAACTATGATAGAGATGATAAGATCACTTTCAGGCTGAGCCCATAAAATCTCTCTGGGAATCCTCCGTGCTTTCTCTCTCATTATCCGCTGATCAGCTGCAAGGTTTCAGCTGGGATCCCAGTGCCCTAGGGAGATGTGGAGCCACTCAGGAGCAGGAACCTGGGCGTCTCAATGATTGTGTAGGGCACACGCCCTGGACTGCCAGCACACACTGGATGTGATATAAGCGAGAACGAGATGACCAAGAAAAGGGAACTACAAATTTGTCTGTTTTTAATTCCTCTCCTCACTGTCCCCCCCCCCCCAAAAAATAATGGTGACCTGGCAGAGAATGTTTGATTAGAAAAATTAAAATACCCTCTCTTTACATTGAGACAAAGTACAACAACTAATCTCCCCCGTGGCCCTTTCTACTGTGAGGCAACCTTTGAGCAGGGTGCTAGTGGAAGACATCTGTCTCCCCTATCACTGCCTTCTCTATGGTCCTTTGCTGAGAAGTGGGTAGCTTCTAGCTGAATAGAAAATTCCATGCCAGTCAGAGGTTTCTCATCTGAGCAGCCACTGCCAAAGCAGTTCATTCCCATCAGATTTCAGTGACATGATTTGGGGCACAAAACAATGCAAACTAAGTGGCTAAGAGGAAGGAGCCAAAGGTTGTCAACATTAAAACCCTCATTAGAAAATCTAAGAAATGTGTTTGCTTAAGAAGTCACAAAACAAGTATGGCTTTGTACCTGAGAAAGTCTTCCCCAAATAGCGCTCTTTAAATGGACAATGTTAAATCGTTGTTCTGTGCTTACTTGTTTTGATAAAGACTTTAGAGGTCTTTTCTTTTATTATTTAAGTGGGAAAACCTATCAATGTCTTGTTGAATTAATAATACTTGTACCATTTAGTGTGCTTTTGGGTACAAGTAAAAATAGAAAAAAAGAAAAAAATCACCAACTGGCTTAAACAAGAAAGATAATTTGTTGGATCCTGTGATTTAACAGTCCAGAGAAGGGACAGCTTCAGGTGGTGAGGGGCCACTGCTGTGGTGATGCTGGCAGGAACAGCAACTAAACAGGGAGGAGCCAGTTCCGCCTTGCCCCTCCTGCCGTCCAGTCTTGCCCTCAGCCCCATACCGGCAAACTCTAATGGACCCAGATGGCAAGGCCCAGATGTTTACAGGGCCCCAGCCCAGCACCACAGAGCTGAGTACAGAAAGGTGGGTTGTGGTGTTGGATGTTAGTTGCACTCTCTGTATAGAAAATGATACTTTAAAGTTGCTGTTATATGAAAAGATAGTCAGAGGGAATGCAGCCCCAGAATGTAAGAAATGAGTACTACAGAGGTATGTCAGGCAGTTAATAAAAGCATGTATATTATTTTTCTCGATTATGTGATGTGTTTGTTATCTGTTACTTTTCTGTGTTTAAATTGTGGTTTCTTTTTCCATTCTCAATAAATGTTACCTAAATACCTTTCAAAAAATAAATTAAAAAAGATTTACAGCCTTCCCTAATAACATGCAGTGATCACAAGGTCTCAAGAATGAGTGTGAAGGGGGTAGCACTTCTAAATCTCTGCTCACCCCACAAGGGGAACCCCAGCTCAGTGGGCATGTTCTCCTGGGTGCTTCATTCCCCAGAGCTTAGCTGAAGACAGAGCACAGGACAGAGGGAGATCCCTAATCCCTCCACGCTTCCTTCTTTTCCCTGTCACCCCACTCTACACTGGGGCCTCTGGAGCTCTGACAACAATGGCGTCACCGGTGCACTGCGCCTGCATGGAGGAGGTGCCAGAGGCAGTGTTTAGCTGGATTACAGACTACCTTGTTCCTGTGTCTGAGCTCTTTTTAGGATCATTACTCTTCCGTTTTGCAGAAGATGCCTCCGATGGAGAGCAACAACTCTTTTTTTTTGTTTTTTTTGTAGGTTGGGAGTCATACTCTCTCCTCGCCTAAATGTGACAACCTATGTATATTTCTCTGTGATTCTGCTCAATGTTATTCTACAGAACTGTTTTTCTTTTGTATATAGGCTAATAAATAATACTAAGGTCCTTGAAGGACACAATGGCCTTTTATTTTTTTATATTCCCTTTGTGCTTTGTATCAGTCAGAATTTCATTCAGTTACGAGTAACAGAGATTTGAGAAATAACGGCTTAAACATACCAGGATTTGTGTTGTCATGTAAAGTAAGTCCTGATTTAGTCTGTCCATGCTGTGGTTATGGTGACCCCACCAGTCATCACTGACCAAGGTTTCTTCCAGCTCTCTGCTCCGGCAACTCTAAGGAATGCCCTGTCTCCCAATATGGCTGCTGGAGTGCCAGCCATCACTTCCAGGTTTCAGGCAGCAGAACAAAGAGGAGGAACACATACCCTTCCCTTTTAATAAAGGAGACCTCTGAAAGCCTTACCCCCCTTCTGCTTACATCTCATTGCCCAGAGCTTAGTTACCATTGATGATGGGCCTGGCTAAAAATTGTATTGACTTACTAAGGAAGAAGTTGATGAGTATTTGATGAGAATGCTGATAAGGTAGTGGAATATTGGCCAAAGAACTTCTCCTTGGGGAGCAGCTTAAAGAGATTGAAGTTTGAGTTTGAATGTTCAGAAAGGCTGAGTTGATAGAAGGGCTATCAAGACATTTATTTATTCAGGGAAGAAGATTTGTAGAATTCAGAGGCCATTCCATGGCCTTTTTTCTTAACATTGAAACTATTTATTGGATTATGTTATCATTCAGAAGTATATCTGTTAAATATGGAAGTTTTGGAAGAAGAAGAAAATAATGTCCCCTACTCCCAGAACATACAGATAGCCCTAATTAACCTTTAGTGTGCTTTACTTCATTCTCTTCCATGCATAATTTATTAATTTTTAACAACTAAAGAAAAAAATTCTTCTTGCTGTCTGTAGTGGTGTTTTAACTGTATTTTTAAAAAGCAAAACATTGAAAAGTCCCTTGTCCCTTGTCTGGTCCCTAGCTCCATGATCACAGCTCAAGGTAGTCTCTGTGTATCACCTCAGAGTTTATTTTTTACATACTTTAGTAAATACAAACTTTGATTTTCCTTGTGACACGTTTCACACAAATACCAGCCCATCATACACATGTTTCTCACCTTGCTTCTTTCACTCACACTTTATTCTGCACCTTGCTTTTTGCCAGGTCAGCACAGAGCGTCCCTCTTCACTTTCATATATTCTTTCCTGTGGATTATCCCATTTATTAAACAGCTCCCTAGTGTTGGGGGTTTGAGTTGTTTCCAATCTTTTGCTATTACAATCAATAAACAGACTTTTATGGGTGTCATTTACATATATTAGCATATTTATAGGATAAATTTCTATAAGTGGAATGGCTAGGTCAAATGCATTTGTAATTTTGATAGGTGTTGCCAAGTTGCACTCCCCACTGATTGTAACATTCTACCCGCCCATCAGCAATATATGAGTTTCTATTTCCCCATGGCCTCATCAAAAGCGTGTTTTCAAACCTCCAAATTTTTGCCTGTATGATAAATTTTAAAAATCTATCTTGGTATAGTTTTATTATGTGGAAGGATGACTCATAGTTTGTGTATGTGTTGGGGGGGTTGTTTGTTTGTTTGTTTGTTTGTTTGTTGCCTTATCAGTGCTCCTGCTTTACCGTCCCTGTGAGATCTCTGGACATGCAGTGATCTGTTTGACTACCAACCATAAGAAGGCTGCACCCCTCAGCTGAACAGATGCTATTTTTCCCTGTGTCTTATCCCTGACAAATGCACCAGTTGCATTCTAGCTAAATGATTGTTTATGATTTTGATGGTTTATACCTGGCTTTATTTCTAAGGTATTTTAAGTAAGAAAATTGAAATAAAAGGGACATAAAAGGGGAAAATGACTGTAAGAAAGGCAAGATGAAGCACTGGAGATGAAGTCAATGCACCAAATACCCTCAACACTTGCTTAAGGTAGCTCACAGATTTGGCCAATGCAAAGAGAGAAACAAGAGTCCAAGATATCTCAACAGCGCGCTATCAGAACCTGGCTTTTCTAAGTCTATAATAGATATAACAGAGGTATATTAGATATAGAGAGTACACCAAGGGAAGACATTCCTTCTTCCTTTACCCTTTGTGCTCCAAACTCGGGACCCATGTAGAACTGGAGCAGCAGAGGCAGCCTGGGAGGAGGGAGGTCCAACTGGTGGGAAGAGAAGAGAGGAAGAGCTTGGTAATAAGCAGAACCCAGGAGGGAGGTGGGAAGAACATGCTCAGGAAGAGCAAAAGTTAGAGGCCTCCAAAAATAACTCTAATGTGGATGGGTTATTCTGATCACAGGAAAGGAAAGCATTTAGCATCCTTTATCAAAAGTTCAACTTAATTCTACTGAAATTCATATAGTACCATGTGGTCTGCTTTCTCTGAAGCCCGGCCTTAGTCAGATTCCTTTTTGGCATCTTGGCTTTCGTTTCTGGCCAAGTCACACTTGGAGTTAGTTGAGCTCTGTGGAGGAAGGAGGTATTGTTTGGGGCTTGGTTAGCAACAATACATGGTAAGAAAACATTCAAGTTTCTAGCAGAGGGAATATAATTCTAAGAATGTTTAGGAAAAACTGGAGACCATCTTCATGCCTATATCAAATGACTATACTTTGCTTTCCAATACTCTTCATATGTAAAATTATCGCTTTAACTCTACATTGAAAAACTAGTCGTTCTATGATTATAGCTGTAATAAGAGACATTTGCTTGAAGAAAGGAGTATGAGAAACAAAAAATAGTGCCAGAGTATTGGGGTGAAAATTTACCCAAAAAAAAGCCAAAAAACCCAATGTTGTTATGATGGTCTGTTCACACACACAAAATCGTAGCCGTTGCTCAGTAGCAAAATAAACATGTTTTATGTTTTGTTTCATTTAGTGCAGATAAAGCCATCCTCTCTACACACAAACCAAACAAACCCTTTCACTTACAGCACAATGTTTTGTCTTTCCAGGCGTCCTATAAGCCATTGTTGAAACAGGTCGTGGAGGAAATATTTAATCCCGAAAGGCCAGATCCCGTTGATATTGAACACATGTCTTCAGGCCTCACTGATCTCCTTAAAACTGGATTTAGCATGTTCATGAAGGTAAAGTAACCATGAAGAGGTAATCCTGAGTGTAATGCTGTCTTTGCTGGGCATGAAATTGCTAACACCCCCTTTACCCGGCTGGTACCACATAAGATACCGTCCAGTGTTTTGGCTCGGCTGAAATCAGGTGCAATCTTTATTTAACTTTTGGTTAAAAGCAGCTTGACCTTCCAGCTTCACACAGATTCTTTTTATCTAAGCACTACAATCTTTTCTGACCAATATGTAAAGACACAAGACCTTCAGGATAGCACTATTGAAAATCTTTCTCCTCCTGACCCACATTTTCACTTAGCATGAATACATATATTGGGTTGTTGGAAAAGTAATGACGTATTTTGTCTGTTTTTCATTGCAAAAATGCGTCATGACTTTTACAAAAACCCAATACTATTCACCAGTCTTAGTGATAGCCTGTTATTCTTAATTCTAGAACGTATTATGTAGGATAATGAGTAATTCCACTCAGTCATGCATGTGACTAGCATCACCCCAAAACCCATTTGAAAAAGACTTTTGTTTGGGCCCAGCAGACTCCCAGTTGACAAGTGCTGCAATCTCTCTGGCTAATATCGAGGGTAGGTCAAAATTACCGCACAGCCTTTGCAGCGGGGAGGAAAGGAGGAAAAGTACACAGATGTGATCTATTTTTAACCCACTGTAAAGTTTCTGAATTTAAAAGGATCTAAACAAGATTACAGGCCGACCTCCCAGTCTATGCCAGGATTGCAGTTATAATAACTCTTGGAAATAACAGAATGTTTTGCCAGCTTCAAAGCGTCTTTGAAATCATGAATTAATCTACATAGAAGAGCTCGCCTCTCAGAGTTCAATAAATGCGCATGCCAGGAAAACTGGTTCACTCCAGAACTAGAGCACAGGAGCCAGACACTCAGACTCTAAACCAAGCCGTTAACTGGCTAGAATGGAAGTGCAGGTCCCCTTCCTGCTGGTCCCCTTCCTGCTGTTCCCAATTATCATCAACTTCTATTGCAATGCGTGACTGGTATAATTTTCCTGGGGGGGGGGGTCTTTTTTTTTTTTTTTTTTTTCTTTAAATAACGCAGCACAGATATTGCTTCTCAAAGGTGTTCAGGGGCTCCTGTGTTGAATGTAATCCAGGGTTGTTGAGTCGCCCCTCATGATGGCTAGTTTTTACAGAAACTTCCACACTAGACATGGTCTCTGACCTTCTCCCCTTGAGTACAGTATTCATTCATTCATAAGCTTGGACTTTGCCCTGAAGAGAGACTAAAATAACCAATGTGGACTTTCACGCCCTAATGAAGAGGATGACCTGATAGGCCGGGTGTTCTTTCCCAGTCAGGCTGCAGCATTCATGGTCTGGCCGAGGACACACGCCGTTTCCAACCCACCTGCACTCCGCTCGCTGTACTAAATAGTTTCTGATTTGCAGGGAGGCACAGTGTAGATGAGAGGAGGCCCTGACTCGTTCTTTGTCTGCTGATGTTCCACAGAAAGAATTGTTTCTTAGCAAAAGGGTCTGCCACCAAATATGTTAGGGATTAGGATAAACAGCAAATGAAGGCAAAATTTTTTGCTGCTGACCTCATAGTGCCTTTAACATGCTAATGGACCTCGCGACTTTGCTGAGGCCAATATAGAGTATCTGTTGTGGGAAGACTACCCACTTGCGTTTTTCATCACTGATTCATGAGCCATGAACCATCCCATTTTAAAATTACCCTTTTAAATGCTACAGAGTGTTTCCTGCAGCTCTTGCTATGGTCAGAAACCTCACTGTCCCAAGGCAGGCTTTGCTTAGGAAGATGGCTGAAAGCATCCTGGGCCAGCAGTGGACTGCTGTGCTCCTTCTCCCCATTCAAACCCCTGGAGTTAGGGCACATGAAGAATGCTCCTGCCCCTTGAGACTGATCTCAAAGGGAGATTTCCAGGTCATGGATTTAAGAAAAAGGAATTTGTGTTCTCCCAGCAGCTGTCAGGATCCATTCCTCAGCCCCCAGCTGCAGGGCCCCTGCTTTCAGTTGCCAGGGATGGCGCATCTGTCTGGAGGGGGTGAGGGGAGTCTCAGTGGGCTGGCCACAGAGCCCTCCCACCGCAGGACCCCGAGCGGGAGGGGTTTTGTTCTCTTTCCACATGGGCCTCAGTGGCTGGCTCCTCCCACCATTCCATAGAAGTCAGTGAGGAAAGTTACCTCTGGCTCATGTGTTCAGGGTTGGAACAAAACTGGGGAAAATGTGAAGAGGAACAGCCAGTAGGGCTTTGAGGAGCTAATTGTGGTTTCCCAAAGAGACGGGGTGAAGCCGTCAGGAGAGAGTGTCTCTACTCTGCTTTAAGGCCAATGGAGAAAAGAAGATACAAAACGCAAGTAGAATCTCCCATGGCCGTGGCCATTAACCAGTCTCCCTGCTCCTGTTTTTTTCTGCTTCTCACTCACTACCCAGAGTTATGCAGCTAACCTGTGCTCAGCACGTACCATGGGATCAGTTATTCTCATATTTAAACCCCACAAGAACCCTAGGAAAGAGGTTCTCTCATTATCCCTGCTTTACCCATGAGGAAACTGAGGCCCAGAAAGGTTAAGCAATAGAAGTGAACTTCTAGAAGGCAAGGATTGGCTCCTATTCTCCTCTATTCTCAGTCGTTTTCTAAAGAGCACACAGGAAATGGGACACCAGGGTTTGTCCCCAGGTCAGTCTTATTTGAAAACCCAAGCTCTTCACCACATTTCTTGGCTCCAGGATGCTCCCAAGCATTTTCTTGGAAGCTAAATAGTCATATGGCATTAATTATTTTCTTCATGATTGCTCATTAGCACAGAAGCTTTCCCTTTCCAGTATCTATACAGCTCATGAATAAAATGCGCGCCTGGACTCATCATCTAGGCAGCCACTGTGCGGGAGGTCAGCCAGGGGTCACCTGCTGGTACCCTGTCTACTTTTCCGGGGCTTGACCCCACGACTCATTGGCAGTGCACCCCCAGGAGAAGAAATTTGTGTATTGGCATTGAGTTGCCTCTACACCATCGCATCTTCATTCTGTATCAGCAACCAACAGTCATTGCTTTCTTCCCACTTGCGGCCCCGCTCTTTGCCTCTGGGACCTGCTCCACCCCCTCACTCAAAACCCACTGGCGCTAAGCCTGAAAGAAACACAAAGTAGAGGCTGATGTAATGAAAGCGTCCATGTGGGATCCTTCCTGTGTTCAGGGAACTTGGGATAGAACTTTCTAGAGCTGGAAAGGGAGCTGAGCTGCTAGCCTGTCCCCTGTTCTCTGGACTCACAGATGGTGTCACAGATGACGTTGACTCATGTCACCCAGAGGCAGTACCTATAGACTATGCAGGGCTGAGGGTAAATTGAGAAGCTGGTGAGAGAGGTGCTGGGAAATCAGGCCAGCAGACCTGCCCACAGGATGGGCTGCAGATGCCCCACAGCAAATCACAGAAAGAACAGAGGAAGGAATTTTCCAGGCCCCTAACACATGCCTCCTTCAGGGCTCCATACCCTTTGTACACACTTCTGTGGCTGCACTTATACCTTTTTATAATGATACATGTTAGGTATCTCTTTCCAGACTAGTGTTTTCTAACTGCACTGCTTGACCCACTGCACATTAGTAGGTCAAGATATCACTTCAATAGACTGTAATCAGTATATTTTAATGAAAAAGAATAGAACCAACCAGCAAAGTGATTTGTTTTGCATCTAGCAAGGCAAAACAAAACAACCCAGTCCATACAGACACATATGATTTAAAGGTATCTCTTGTTGTAGGTGCAAAGCAAATGAATGTGAAAGCTGTGGCTATGAGAATGGAGGGATGATCTAGGCCTATTCTCTTCTGCATCCTCAACCCGTGGGGAGGTCCCAGGCAGGCTTTGCCCACCAGGCACTCGCTGAAGGTTGGGCGGGTAGTCCCAGTGGGCCTGTCAGAGCGCTCATTCAGAAAGCAACACAGCTTCCAGTCACTGGTTCCTCTTTCCAACTTTCTGCCCTGAAGCCAGAAGCTATGTTTCAACAACTTCACATGGGGTAGAAGGTAGCAGCCCGATCAGCCAACCCCAGTGACCCTCAGAGGAGTCCCTGACCTCCTTTTCCAGCAGCTGCTGTGCCAGGCAAAGCTCGTCATTGTTTTGTCGTTACATAACCCCAGAGCAGCAGTGGCCACTTGTTCCCGCTGTGCTTCCCTGTGCGCGGGGGAGACAGGAGCCTGACCCCGCCTCTGTCAGAGAAACCTGCTGATCTCCTCTCCTGTCCACAGGCAGAGTGCACGTCTCTTTTTTCCAGCTTCTTTGTCTCTCTGGAGGACAGAACAGAAGCAAAGAGACTGATTTGGTAGTGTAAGGACTCAAAGGAGTCGAGAGGAGACATGTCCTAACAGTGGCTAGATCACAGGACGAGCGTTCCGAGGGGAGATTTAGGGATCTCTTTTCCATTGAACACCTCCAACATTTTTGTTTGGTTTTGTAAATAATAGGAGACCATCTAGTATATGCTGCCCAACAGCACTCACTTCATTCTCCTTTTTATGTCTGCTTACAAGAGACCATAGACAGGAGGGGTAACACATCTAGGTCACACTGTCTGGGTTGAAGTCAAGCTCCACCACTGACTCACCATGTGACCTTGGGCACATGACTTAACCTACCAGATCTGTGAAATGGGGATAATAATAATACCTACTTTATAGGTCTGCTATGAGAATTAAATGAGTTAAATCATACAGAGCACTCAAAACAATAAGTTTTTACGAGTTTGTGATCCCAGCCAGACTATGACTCGAGAAAAGAGCTACCTTATGTATCTTTATATTCCTGTGCATAGCCATTTCCTGGGCATTTGGTGCATACAGATTAACTGCTGAGTGAACAAATGATTTGAATAGAAGAGAACAGACACTCAGGCGTTTCATATTTCACTATTGATTTGCTCTTGTCAGAAAGACACGGGGTTCTGGGGTTCTTTTTGTTGTGCCAATGAGAAGCCATGGTTATAAGGCTGCATTGTGCTTT